TTTTCTGTATATTCTACTTTGCAGTTATGTATGTGCACGTATAGACTTCTGTGAATATCATGTTTCATTATGATTTGTTAAGCTATATTTGACATAAATTAGAACTTCATATAGGTGTATTGCTGTTCTGTCAGATTTTTAGTAAAACAGCTTGGTTTTTATCACAGTTCTTTACTATTAATATTATAAATGCTTTACTACACTGGAGTGAAATATTTGAGTTATGGTAGATACTTCTGTGAAAACATTACCATAGTGCTCAGCAGTGGTAGAGAAGAAAACCAAATCATTTTTTAACAGGAATTGTTAGGAAAGGAACAGATACCAGAACAGTGAATGTCCGCTTGTCGCAATAGCAATCTGTAGTTCACCTTTGGTGCACAGTTCTGATTCCTCCCAGAAGATAGGATAAAACTAACTGGAAGAGGTTTGGAGAAGGGCAGCAAGGAAGATAAAAGGTACCAAATGGTTTCTGTGTGAGGAAATCCTTGGTAAATGGTTAATCTAGGGGGAAAAAAAGAAATTCAAGAATGTATTGTGAAAACCATGACTGGTTTGAAGAGGATGGATGAGATATGACTGTTCACTACATTTCTCAGTAATAAACATCACGGGAAAGTATGATGAGTCACTTTCAAAACAAACAGCAGGAACTGATTCCCCCTGCAGCAGGGAGAAGGATGTTAAGGATGTCAAAAGTTTGCATGAAATCAGCAGACAAGTTTGTGGAGGAAAAACCATGGAGGTTTACAGAACATATAGAAATCACAACACAGGAACTCTATGAGGACAGAATAGTTGATAGCTGAGAAACTATGAGGGAAAAGCATTATATTCGTTTGACATGTTTTTCCTTTTCTCTAGCACCTATTTATGGCTCTTGTAGAGATAGGATAGTGGGCTAGATGAACCATCATCTGATCAAGCAGGGCTTTCTTGTTAGGAAAAGTTTATTTACTTATTTAAACAACTTTATCCTCACAGCAGATTTGATGAAATCATAAATACTTCTCTAAAGAAACATCATTAATGAAGCCAATAGGCTTAATTCTTCACCTCACATGCCAGTACCTTGAAGAAGGAAATCAGGGAACTTTTTTAAAGTGTTCTTTACATTATGTCCTTCATTTTAGTAAGCTTTTCTTTAAAATTCTCCCCTTACACTGCTACTGATCTTGAGGAGGTCTGTAGGAGCCTGGAAGTCTACACCAGTTCTTGGATCTAGTCATTCTCCCTGGTTCTTTTTGAAATATCTGTTAATCTTTCCAGTTAATTTATCAATAGCATGGATAATAACAACTGGTCACATAGCTTCGTCTATATAATGTTTTGAAAATATATAAAACATAAATATCAATTTGCATAGCAGCATTAACAGAGAAACAATTTTCGTTTCTTAAACTGTGCAGTAAGAAAAATTTCAGACATAATGTTTAAAATCATAAACTTCCTGATTATTTTTAAATTACTCTGTTTCTCTAAGTATAGTATAAAAACTACATCTGGTAAACAATTCGAACAGATAAATTCTGTAACGTACTTTAGTAACAAATGACTGCATTCTATGCCCTCCTACTCTGTACTGAATACAGCTTAAGCTACAAGACAATTCAACATTGTTCTTGGAACAACTCTGATGATAAAGTGTTTCGGAAATCAGCTAGAAAAAGAACAAAACGTACAGAAGTACAGCTCTCGTGGATAAAGGCCTGATGGCCAGCCTCTAAGATATTACTTGTGATAAATATGTGTCAGAAAATGAAACATTTTGGGGCAGTCTAATGATCCCTATCTTAATGTCCAGAGAACTCCATTCCTAATGCTTCAAGCAAGTCATAAAAGTGTTTATAATGTTTTTAATTGGGCAACGCTGAAAGAAGGGGTAGAAATTTTGCTTGAGCCCACCTAATAATAAGGTTATTTTGAAGCATTGCCACCCTTTATACTAATCTACCTATAGAAGTTTTCAGATACAGGGTCTTTACACAGAAACAATGGAATTTGCAAAAGTGCTGGTTTCATTAAGGATCACTAATTGCATCAGCTTGCAATAGTACTGATGCCGTTCAGTCACCAGGTGGTCCTGTAAATCCCATCTGTAGTTTACTTCAGTAATACTCCGTTGCCTGTCCAGCTGCTCTGCCCCACTGCAAGGTAGAGAAAGGCTTTTAAAAACACCTTTCTTGCCCTAGTGAAAACCGTCTTATAACTTGGTTACTTGTTGGAGATGATAAAGTTGGGAAGCAAAGGGTTAGATCTGCCTCCAGTTCTGCTCTGCCACTAAAATTGCAGGTTTCTAAAACTGTCAGTCTTGGTGCTCTTTGTAAAGTAACATTAATTCAGAGTTCAGCAGTTGAGCATCCCAGCTACATAACATGTTAAAATCTGCCAGAATTTATCTTCCTGAAAAATTTCTGATTTTGATTAATTTTTAATGTTTGCTCTCCTCTTTTGTGAGGAGTCAGTACTGAGTTCATTGCTAACTGGTGTCTGAGAATTCCCTTCATTAACAGTGAGCCAGATTGAAAATGTAAAGAACGTGTATGTGTGCAGCATTAAATGTGTAGCATCCACCTCTCTGAAAGCACTATTTTGCAGTTGCACCGTACTGAAAAAAGCAGCTATCTCTTGCTTTTTGACTGTTTCTTTATTACTTCTCAAAGTAGAGGAGTATCTATAGCACTGGTAGTTTCATTGCCAGAGCATCGTAACATTAATGCACCTTTAAATGAACTATGGCAAAGACAGTTGTAATTTCCTGTATCATCAGTGGCATATGCCAACTCGACCTAAGTGCTGATCTATAAATCATCCTTCACATTGCCACTGGGTAATATAGGTGAATGAGTATAACTGTTGTTGCTTGTGCTGATTTCTTCAGACAAAAGATGCGGCTTCTGCCCTGGGTTACTTTTCAAGCTGAAACCTGAATCCAGAAACAATCTCCAGAATCTTGTCAGGTCCAAGTACTGAAATTTCACTTCAAAGTCAGATTTGGATTTTTACTAAGTTCAACAGGAGCCAGCAATGTGCACCGGCAGCCCAAAAAAGCCAGCCATATCCTGGGCTGCATCCAAACAAGCGTGGCCGGCAGGTCGAGGGAGGTGATTCTGCCCCTCTACTCTGCTCTTGTGACACCCCACCTAGAATACTGCATTCAGCTCTGGGGTCCCCAACACAAGAAGGACATGGAGCTGCTGGAGCGAGTCCAGAGGAGGGCCACGAAGATGATCTGAGGGCTGGAGCACCTCTGCTATGAAGACAGGCTGAGAGAGTTGGGGCTGTTCAGCCTGCAGAAGAGAAGGCTCCGGGGTGATCTTATAGCAGCCTTCCAGTACTTAAAGGGGACCTACAGGAAAGCTGGAGAGGGACTTTTTACAAGGGTGTGTAGTGATAGGACAAGGGGCAATGGATTTAAACTGAAAGAGGAGAGATTTAGATGGGATATAAGAAAAAATATTTCACTCAGAGAGTGGTGAGGCACTGGCGCAGGTCACCCAGAGAAGTTGTGTCTGCCCCATCCCTGGAAGTGTTAAAGGCCAGGTTGGATGAGGCTTTGGGCAACCTGGTGTAGTGGAGGGTGTCCCTGCCCATGGCAGGGGGGTTGGAACTAGATGATCTTTGAGGTCCCTTCCAACGCTAACCATTCTATGCTTCTATGATTCTATGATTCTTAAGTCATCTTGATAGTGTTAAATCTTTCCTTCTCTCACTCTTCCTCCACTCTGTCAATCAAAACAAATTCCCCTGTGCTAAAATGCAAGCAGTCTTTTCCTGCT